CGCCCTTCAGTTTTTAGGGTAAGGATTTTAGAAAAAAGTATCGTCTTATAGTCGGAAAAATACAGTATATGCATTTGATAAATTAAGTCAGGAACAATGTTGCTCTCATGCAGGCATGTTCAACCTATGTCTATTTTACCAACCTAAGCCATTACAAATATCAAATAATTTGCTCAGCATAATACAGCTCTGTGTGAGCTTAAATATCCACTACATTAACACACACAAACCAATAAGCTAATAAAGGAACGGACAAGGTAACAATAAGCTGGGCTTATCTAAACAGTAGCCAGTTATAATTTTCAGAGACAATCTGACGTAAAGTGAAAAAAATTATGTCAAAATCCTGATGAAAACAGGTCCTACAATACAGATATACTTGGCTCCTGTTTCTTCCCTAATGTGAAAAGGGAAGAATACATTAATTAATTAATTAAATGAATACAGCGTATAGCCAATATATAAATAGGTGCAATTTAAAGCTGACAAAAGTACAACCTATTGCTGGAAATACAAGCACATCTAATTTTATAGTGTATTTGCTATATTATAATCATTATAAATTATTAGCATAATGCTGCTTTACACCACCACTGTATTAGCATTTGGGAAATATTTGAGCATCAGATCTCTGGGAAAACAAAAATTTGGGAAGATAATTAATATATTCAGCATGAATAAGTGTTAATCTTAAATACAATAATGTTAATTTAATTACCTGTCTCTCACAATAAGCTTTCATTAGTTTACTTAGTGGCGTGTGGCGTTTTATTTTAAACTGTACCACCGATCCATCTTGACCAGCAACTTTTAAATTGATATGGTCATTTTCTGTTTTTACTCCTTCCTGCAAAACACAATATAAAAGTATGTATCAGTGTTTGTGAAGTTAAATGTCACACAAAAAATCCTGCAAAAATATGAAACACTTGCAGGTATTTCCCAGACGTTAAGAAAAATCATACAGTACACCTGACATGTTTCAAATCTTACTAAAGCAACAATATTTTCCATGAAACTCTTAATCCAAAAAACAAACAAAAGAATTACAGTGAAATCAGAGCTTAGCACAACAGACAGTTAACTTGCAAAACAACTCTGTCTATTCCTGCTATCTTTCAGAACTATACATTTTTTCCAGTTTTGTGTTTAAAAGCATTTCCAGCTTGGTAATTAGAGAAAGTTATTGCCAAGATGTGCCCCCATACAGTGCCCAAACTTCATGATGCACTATTACCACTATCTATAATGTTACTTCAGAATGATTAAGATTAAGATAGAAAACATACACATCTAAAGCTATACTATGCTTTGGATCACTTAAGATGGCAGCTATGGACAGATACTTCCCAGAGAGTTTTTAAAATTCCCATAGCAAAAATGCTAATTTGAGAAACAGCAGCATGGTATCCTGTCAAAAGATAACAGATAAAAGATGGTGTGGCTAATTGGAATATCCAGGGTAGTGTTGCTACTCTTTCTCCAGCTTCATGTTTTCAATATGCATAATTTAGTGCTAGAGGTGTGTGTTTGTACCCATATGTATACAAATTCCCTGTCTTCCTCCTGCCAGATCTCTGTGCTGTCCTTTGTTTTCTTCTAACACCCCTCACTGTGCAAATTTTAAGATGTTTTTACGTTCCATATCTTCCTGCAGTTCATAACTATTTTATTAAATACTGTATTTCAGAAAGCATTCTTTTTATGGCCAGACCATTTTTTAAAACATCACAACCCTCAATAGAACACCAACAGTACAGAAATGTTATAGAAAAAAAGAGAAGGAAGCATGACAATTTTCATGAAATCTGATACAAATATAAGATACCAGTAGGCTAAGGAAGAGTAGATGGGGACTTTATTTACATTTGAGGTAAAAATTGTACCAACCCTATTTAATGTGGTTTCTTTTGTTTTTAAGATTTTAATTTTTATTTGATATTGCTTTGCTGTGATATTTTAAACTCTGTAGGAGACCTTAGGCTAAACTATGATGTACATATATTATATACTGTATGACATATAAACAAATGCTTAGAAAAAAACTGAACTCCAGACACAGTACCTTGGTAAGAGTTTTAATTAATTCATAAGAGTTTTGTAAATACATTTCTACCCAAATTATTTTACTGTAAGACTGTGGAATAGTTTTACAAGACCGATAATGCAGTCCACAGCATACCACAGGACTTTGAAGAAACAGAGCAGAAAGAATACTGAGGCTTTTGAATGTTGATATTGGAGACTATTACTACTACTGTGGATAGCCAAGAAAAGAAACAAATGGTTTATCAAACAAATCAACTCAGAGTTCTCACTCTGAAGAACTAAAGGACCAGGTTAGGGACAGATGGAGAAGTTCTCTCTATGTGGTTGCTAAGAGTCAACACTGACATGACGACACATAATCAATGCATGCTACGTTGGAAATAAGTCCACTGAACTAAATAGAACATATCTTCAATTAAATATCTATTTGTAGCCTACCCTTTTTAAGTTTCAATAAATTTCATGAGTTTTACTTCCCAATCAGCATCCAGAAGACTGCAACCAAGAGCTTTCTATATAGTGAATTATACTCATCCGGTTCTTCAGTTAACGTGGCCTACCACTTATTTCTGAGCGTTATATGGTTTACAATACAAAACATCAGATGGAACAAGGTTGGAAGAGATTATGCTAACGCAACCAATTCCTTCTGAAGCAACTGGAGAGTAGAATCTCTCTGACACCTTGATGAGGACACTGATCCACCTCCACTAAGTGCGCGCAGGAAGACAAAAGGAGGAGGGGGAAAAGGAAGTCGGGGACGGCCCTTTACTTAAGCGGAGAGCCCCAAGCACGTGGTGATCCCGCGCAATCCACCTCTCGGCAGCGAGGGGAGACCGGGAAAGTGTTGTCGTCGTCTGACCAAACGAGCTCCTACCGCCACCCCGTCGCAGATGTCCTTTGGGCAGCTCGCAGAACACGCACGCTCTTTAAGGCGTAACATAAAGCAGCAGGGACCACTGGGAACAAACCACCTATTACTGGATTGCCCAGAAAGCGAAAGTGCCAGAGCTGTAAGAAAAACACGCTGCTGCGGCCTAGACACCCTTTCAATTCCTGCGGGAGCTCCGCGAAGGAAGAGTGCAGGCGAGCCGCTCCTTCGCCAGTGCCCTCCTTCCGGGTGAGGCGGGTCCGGTTTCTCGCTCACAACCGGGGCGGGGAACGCCAATCCGCAGGCCCAAGACGAGGAGTGAGCCGGGTTTTCCTTTCCGGGGGAGCCCACCCTCCGCTCTCAAAGGCGCCGAGGGCAGCCGCGGGAGCACAGAAGCTGAAGAGTCGCTCTGAGGGGATAGTCCGCCCGCAGACTCCGAGAGGCCTGGCTTCCATCGGGAGGCAGGGCAGCCATCTAACGAACAGGGCGGCTGTGCAAAGCGAGAACGCCCTCGCTTACCTTAGGTTTCTCCTCGGACATGGCGACGCGTCAGGCAGAGACCTCTCGGGGAGCGAGTCTGCACGCGCTCTGAGCCCGTTCCTTCCTCGCTCGCCTCTCCCGCCTGCAGCAACTGCTTGCGAGAACGCGCTTCGCGCCCAGCGATCTTCTGCTCCCTGTTGGCCCTAAGCGGGTCACGTGGGGCATGCACGTTCTCGGCGCGCGCCCCCGAACGATGCTTTGCTCGTCGGGAGCGCGCTTTATTGGGGTGGAGGAGGTGATGGCGCCGAAGGTGCGTCACCGTCGGCTGAAGCGGGAGCTCTGTGGCTGCTAGAGAATGTACGAGGTGGGGGCGTGGTCACTCATAGCGCGGGAGGAGGAAGAGGCGGAGCCAGTTCCCCTATTTTTTAAAAATGATAGAGAACTGGGTGGGGCCGTAGTATTTGCTTATTAACCTTAAGGGTATCTGTACTGTTCAGTTGTAGCAAAAAGAGAAGCTAGTCAGAAAACTATATTCAGGACATGTATCTTTTATGACACTTAGTCGCATGGACAGGGTCACATTCACAAGTCTACATTCAAACTGTGTTTTAGAATTTTAAGCTCCTGAGGTTAATGGCAATAGGCTATTTAAATTTCAAACTCTCCTTATAAAATGGGAAGTCAGTGATTAGAAAATGGACATGAACAATGACACCACCAACATATCCATCCTTCCCCATGTGTTTTTGGTTTCTGCAGGAATAATAGCTTGGCAAAGTGTTCAAGAATATTTGTCTGAAAAATGTCAGAATTGAGGGTCTGATGCATTGTTTTTAGAAAAAATTCTTTGCACATGTACACATACACACATTAATAAACAGTCTATGCTGAGCTCATGCATCACTCTAAGCCATCGATTGTAGTCCCATGATGCACTAATTATGAACCTAGCCTCAAACGGCAGGATTTTGTGTTTTGTTTTTAGCTTAGTGTGTTACATGAAAGGTGGCACTGTAGTTAATAAATCATGGTTTATTACCATAATGTGTGAATCCAACTACATGTGGCACATGTGTGAACCTCTACCTCTAGTCAGTTTCAATAGGCCTCTTGTTCTTTGAAGTTGGAAGCTTTTCTCACATGCCTTTAAAAAGTAGGAAATAAAATGCAGCACTATGGTTATCCTACTTGTAGCAATAAAGCTATTTTCCTATTATTCTGTTCACATGGAACTGGAACTTGCAGGCTTATCCCCCAAGACTGCAAATGGAATGATGTACAATTTAATATGGTTCTCTGGATAAATTGGCAGAGAGCATGAGCTAGGGGGATTACTTAATTACCCCTCAAAAAATGCAGAAATTATCCTTTGCTGAAAATGGGAGAAGTAATGAATCTGTATAAGCACACATACATTCACAGAAAATGAACTGAAGAAGTAAAGACTTTGGCCATTTTCTTAATTTAACTTGAATATTTTTTAAAAAAATATGCATTTAAGATTTACAATTACACCTACTTTCTAATATTAATTGCCAGTGTAACATTGTTCTTAGCATTCTTTGCAAATATGTTGGCTTTCTTAAAATAAATTGATTTTAGGAAAGCCATTTCCTAATTTAAGCACAATGACAAGCATATTCACAGGTGAAAAATGTGTAAAGGCATGTTCTCTATGTTAGTTGAGAAGGCGTCCAAGATTCATTGGGTCAGAGTCACTGAGATTTTTGTTTTATAGTGTCTGGGAAACAGCAAGAAATCAGAATTAATTCTGAGTCACTGATTTAATACTTATTTTAGCGGCTCTCCATTATATTCAAATACGTGCACATGTATATCTTATTTTTATACCCTGTCTCATCAATCCAGAATTCTGATGCAGAAATACCTTTATAAAAGTTAGGTGTTCCTATAGTGTTATTCTTATCTCAAGTATTATAATGCATATTTGCTGTAGCTGGGGTGATCTGGAATACCATTAAAAACAACAATGAACAAAAAACATCCATTTGCCTAAAAGAAATTTTTACATATGCTGTTGAATTCCAACAGTAGCCACACCATCCCAGCAGGATGTCTTCTATAGAGAAGCCTTTATTAGGTTTCTGGTGCAAATGGAAGCATGATCAGGGTACAATTCAGGGAATAACAGTTTCAAAGAAGGATATGGCTTGCATCACAAAAGAGAGCAGCAACCTACAATAACACAAGAGGGCACTGATGACCTCAGTTAGCAATGAAGACAGAATCCAGGCTGATCTTTATGATCTCCAAACAACCTGATAATATTCTCAGGGATTCCTTGAAATCCATAACAGTATGAAGAACTAATTAATAATTCCAGCATTTAATATTTTGTGTCAGAAATGAGTTGTTAATGACCAGTCTGAGTAACAACATTTATTTAGGGCAGGAAAGAAAAGGTGGGAAAAGTATGCTTAGGTTGGATAATAATGCCTTTATGAAAGTTGATCTTTTAATGCTCAGCAATAAGCCAAGTATGTTTGAAATGCCTTCAGGCAAAATTTCTGAATTCTTCCCTCCCTCCCCCTTTTAATTGAGAACATAGTTGGTCACTGTTGAGAACTACCTGCTACATATTATGGCATCAGCTGAGGCAAAACCGTCTTTCCAAAAGCTTTTAGATGTGTACAGCATAAACACTGGATTCTTGTTTGAATGCCACATCCAGTCAGATTGATCAAAGAACTAATTTAGGACTTCAGTTGAATGATTTCCTCCCCTTGATGGAAATTGAGATTTCTTCAATTTTTCTTTCAAAACATTTGGGTATGTATGTATGTATGTATGTATGTATGTATGTATGTATGTATTTGATAAATTTATAAACTGCCTGAGTCCATCATGACTCTGGAAGGCCTACAGTATAAAACAATTTAAAACAATGCCATATCAAACAATACAAAAACATCTATTTATCTATCTGTCTGTCTGTCTGTCTATCTATCTGAAAGACTTCTATGGCTGTCCATCTTACATGCCATAATTCTGGGCGGCTCACACCAACATAGATTAAAAACATAAAAGAAACAATAAAAACCAGCATCTAAAAAACATCTGGAAAAAATAACACAAACTCTAATAGATTAATCATTCAACAAGAAGTCTGCCATCCACTCTTACCCAAGGCCTGGAGGAAGAGCCTTTTCTCTGTAATGTTGTCTTCACTATACAAGCTCAGTCTTTACAATAATCCAAATTCCTGTTGCTTAAATGTAATTATTTTCTCTACTTAGCAAAGGAATGCCTGTTTCCTTAGCTTTGATTTTGAGATAGTTAAAAAAAAACTTCTCAAAAGCCACTGTACTTTCTGCAGTGGTTTTCTTTGAAATGAAATGCTAAATGTTTTGGGAAAAGACTTCTTGACTATTAAGCAATCTAGCCTAAAGATGTCTGATCTTCTTGATCCCTGATGATGATATAGCTATTCTGGATAATTATGCAATATAATTATTAAAGCTTAGTGAAGTTGCACAGCAAGAGAATTTATACTCTGATTATACCATTAACATGAAGAGTGTAATTTGCTCCATTTGGGATTCACTGAATCTCTAGCCTTCTACAAGAGACTGGGATTTATAATTTGTACCGATTGTAGAATATTTGGGTTTATATCTTTCCCAAAATATGTTTAATATGTCTAAATGTATAGATGGAATTTCAGCAGACATGACTCAATGGTTAAAACTTCCATTAAGTTTTTGGGGCAAAATAACGTTATTAAGATGAACATTGCATCAAGATTAATGTGTATCTTAAGAGGGATTCCAATGTTAACCTCTATTAAAGTTCATGAGAATTTTTTTATGGCAGGCTAAAGTCCCTCAGATATCTTGGCCAAACTAAGGTTATGATGATGGCAGCTTTAGCCTACCGTATTTTTGTCTTTGAGCTTTTATTTTAATATCTACTGCACTTTTTATGAATATTTCTATTTCTCTCTCTCTCTCTCTCTATATATATATATATCTATATATCTATATATCTATATATATATTTTTTCTACTAGGATAGCATGTTTTATACCTCTGAAATCTTTGCAAGTTTTAGCATTGTAGTATATTAAACAGGGGTCTTAGTTTTCAACCTTAAAAGCTGTCAGACACATTGGTCATTAATAGGTATGTGGTTTCGATCCCAAGCCTCATTAGAAATTGACAGTGTGGAATAACCCAAATTTGAAAAGTGTGGAAGATGTTTTATTGAAATGCTTGGGCCAAACAAAGGATCAATACTTTAAATCAGTTGATTTTTAATAGTTCTTTTAAAGACTTGAAGATTGCATTTTGAATATGACATTTACTTGGCAATATATACAACTGAAACATGTATTAATTAAACAGTATGGTCCAAATGCTTTAGTAGCCTCCAAAAGCAATTTTAGGATACTTAAGAAATCCAACATTTGAATGAAAGCCCACAATCCAATGTTATAAGCAATTAAAAAGTAAAATGAAAATTAATGTTAGTTATGTATCTGAACTGTGCAATGAAAAATTGGAATATCAGTTTTGGAGAATCAATGGATCCAGGTATTAAGAAACATAACTGTACTTCTTAATGTTTGAAAGTGAAATTAATTCATCTGATATTATTCATGTTTATTGGTTTACTCGTCAAAAGCTGTTTAAAAAGTTATGGACATTAGATTTTGTGTGCTGTCCCTGTAAGATATTTGAAGGCTGTAACTCACAAGATCTAGTCTTGTACAACTATAGCCTTGTTTGGTTTTAAATCATTACACGTCAGGATAGTTGAAATAATATAATTGAGGACCTTATTGTCATGTTGAACTTCATTCCTAAAACATGAAAATTAGGAAGAGTTGGGGCTCTGTTGAGTCCAGGCCATGGCAAAGAGGACAATTTTACATAAATGGAATGAACCCAATCTTCCAGACATTTAAGAAATGGATTCACAATATGAAACTGTTAACTGTTTTTGAAATGTCTGTGTTCTAAAAATGAGAAGATTTAGCAGTATGTTTCTGTATAGTCAAGATTTAATAAGTTTAAGGATTAAATTACTTTTATATCAATATTAATGGACATTATATGTATTTTCTCTATTTTTCCCAGATGTAGAATAGATATGATGGGGCAGCAGTTATGTCTCTGAAGAATCATTTTGCAGTCATCTTCCTTTTTTAATGGGTTTAGCATGTTTAAAAACTGAAAATATGCTGTTTGGTGTACAGAAGTTAGCATGGTTCCTAACTTTTACTGCTGAGATTTTTTGCCCTACTTCTGTATTTGAAATAGCGTTTTAAAGTGCTAGAAGTTTATTATATCATTCTCTGCCTGCCTCATAGTCAAAGCTGCAAGGTAGGTATTATTCTCCATTATAAAAACTGAGGATGGAAGAAAATGTCACTAGCAATCCTCAAATAATGGAAAACAGGCACTCCACCTGATAGTCTCCTAGATGCAGTTGACAAAGAGACAGTCACCAAAGGAAAAGAAATACTGTAACCATCTCTTCAACCCTCTAGTGCAAGCACTGATTTACAGTCTCAGCTGCTATGTTTCACCGTTGGCAGATCTTATAGAACTGTGGGTTAAAGGCATTTTCTAAGTATCTTTGTTTTGAGACAGAACTCCAGTAAAATGTAGCAGGTAAAAATACTGATTTTTTTTTTTCTGTCTTCCCATAAGATCACCCAATTTTAAAATAGCAAGTAACAGTTTTGACAGTTTCAGCTTCAATGACGCTCCTTCATTCAACAAGTCTCCTTGCTCCCATCTTAATGTCATCCTGGGGTGGTCTATTCCTCACCTGTGGGGAACTATTTCATTTTCCCACCAGAAGACAATTCCTTTGCTCCCCCTATGAATAAAATCCTTTTTCTTCACACTGTTCCCTGGTTGAACCTTTGACTTGATCTCTCTTCTTCTCTCTCCCTAAGTTGGTTCCCTTCTCTCTTTTATCTTGCCAAATCTCTCTTCCCCCTTATTGCTATCTAGGTTGAGCATTCTGGTTGGAAGGCTCCTGATCAATCAGAGCTGTGAAATCCTAACCAGCTATCCTCACTGGGGGCTTAGTATGTTTAGGTCTCTCCCACCTGATTGGTTTGTATCTATAATGTAGGGTCTGATTTAAGGGTCTGATTCTCCCCCACCCCCATTTCAGACTCCACAACACAAGAAATTCATAACAGAACTGAATGGCTTCATAATTAATTATTCTATATAATATTCTAGAGAAAAGAATGCTCCTAAAATTGTAGCAAACCATTTTTGCTCTAGCTGACCCTATTTATAATTGGGACAGAATCTTATTCTGTACCTCTACCTAGTTGGATGTTTGGATAACTGGCTCCCACTTCAAAAGCCAAACTACTTGCAGTATTTCCAGATCAGGACTATAAATTCCAACCAATATGTCCAGGGCAAGTAGAATATAGTTAGTATATCTTGTTCACTTAGAACAAGAATCAATCTGCAAAGCTATCATTAATTTAAAATGTCCATTTTCTTTCCTTTACAGAGCAATAATGCCAAATCCAAATGTAAGTTTCCATTTGAAAGTCAAGAGAGTTCCAGAAGGTAACAGAGATTTTAAAATGTTAATTTTAATTTAGTTAGCCAAATAATTTACACTTTTCACTATTGTTAATGTTAATATGGCAAAAGAGCTGCATAAAAGTTTTTGTAATACAATGCTCTATCTTTTTGAAATTTATATATTTAAGTATGGAAAGCTCTAGAGTTCACTGTGACTTTGATAAAACAATCAACTGAAGAGTAAATATATGAATGCATTTCAAAGGAATTGTAGTTAGTGTACTATCGACAACACAATATTCATAGTATTACAGAAGAATATTAAATATTTCACAGCATGAGCATTTTATTTAATCCTCTTTAGATTAAGAAGTAATGCTAATGTTGTTCCATATTCTTCACGAAGTTCTATGTTGAGGTTTTAGTTTCTTTCATTCATTTCTCTAGTAGGTAAAGAGTTCAAGTAAAAATGCTCAGAAAAAAAATCTGTAAGTATTTTTTCTTTTCTAAAAAGCCATCCTCCAATTTTTTTCCCCAAAAGTTATTTCACTCTTCCAATTAACATTAAATATTACAAAATCTGTTTTTCTTAGTCTTAATATGCCTCGTCGGAAAAAAAATACACATTTCACCCTCCAGTGCGTAAGGCTCAATATGTGGAATTGCCTGAAAACAGGCTATTGTATCAAAGCAAAAGATTTTATCAGTAAGACTTAAGGTTGATAAATGTCTATTGTGGTTATGAGGGGCATTCTTTCTGACATTATACAATAAGTTACCACTTGAATACATAAGGATACAATGTGATACACATACACTAAAGGGTTTGGCAAATTTGTATTACAAGAATGTTAAGTAATTCAAGAAGACTGAATATAGCTGAACTTTTACCCTTTAAATGCTGGCATATGTCTAATGAGCGCCAGTATAAAAGCTATAGCTATATCAAACTCTTATTAACATTCAGTTTTAATTATTTCTATGGTAGCAATTTTTTAAGGCACAAAATCAGGAGGACTATACCTATTTTGCAAAGAAACATAGAATCAATTTATAAAAGTACAAACCCTTAAGATTCCATGATTTAAAAATGTATATTGGGAACAGTTTCTTTCTGGAATGATTTAGTCACTTTTGCCAGAGAATGTATTAAAGCTTATGATCTTTTTGTACAGGAAATTCCTAAGTATATACAAGGATCTTAAAAACCTTGTCTTATTTCCAGTATTAACATTAGAATGGCTACCAACTGTTGGTCACAGAAGGATACAGTATGTGCACCATTCCGCCCCAATTCATGAATAAATTTGTTTTAAGACTTTGCTGGCAAATAAAGAATGCACAGTAAAAATAAAATATTGTAGTAGCACAAGCATCTACTTAACAGCTAGACAAAAAAAATAACATGAATATATTGCAGCCTCCAGAGTTTTAGAGGTATGTTGGTTTGTTCATTAATCTCAGTCTTTGTTAACAGCTCACTGTAATTATGGTTGGCTCCATCTTGCATTAGGACCATTTTTCTATTTGCAATTAAGGCGTCTAAAGTACAGATCTTTCCACAACTGTACATTATACAGACAGCACTGCCAGATGGTATTTGGACATTTCAAAAGAAATCTTAGTTATTTTCAAATTTGGCATATGGATTCTCTTCTTTAAACAAACCTGAAAGAGAAAAAAATACATAGTTAGAACATTAAAAATATTAATGGTATATGGCAAAAGACCAAAAGGAAGTGGACAGAGGTTGGCCTTATCATGAAGTCCTTTCTGATCACCAAAAGATGAATCCTTCCCCCCACCAACCAAAATAGTATTCATACCCCATTTCTTTTAGCTAGAAAGCAAGACTTAAGACTTCTTACTGTCCTGGGCTAGGAGGCACTTTTAGGCGGCTGTTATCAATGCCTTTCCTCTTTTCTTTCTTGGTTTCCAAAATGAAGTCAGGAAAACCATGGCATAAAATGCAGAGCATTAAGACTGAAGAGAGGTTTCCTCCAAGGAACAAGAAGAAATCTTAAGCTCTGCTTTCTAGCTAGAGGGAGAAGAATAAACACTTTCCTATTTGTTCCATCCTGGTGACTGAAAAGAAGAAATAAGCATTAGTTGCCAATTACTAAAAATAAAGACCTCTGATTGTACATCATTGTACTTGGACAGGCATTTCCACAGTATAACAGCCAGAAAGCAGGGGTTGGAGAACCTTAAACATAGGTACCATAGTAGCCAGAAGAGGCTAGGAGTGCAGACATGGGCATGTAAGGACAGTGGGAGATGGCTGCAGAGGGCCAGCAACCCAGTGGTGAAAAGAGGATGCCTCATAAATTCAGCAGGGAGGTAGCACTGAGGACTGGGGGAAGCTCATGGAATAAGGGGCAGCTGTAGCATACCCCACCACCTAGCCAGCAGCAGATCTTTGCCAGATGCTAGCACATGAATCCAGCAGAGAAGACAGCAATGCATTAGCTGGAATCAACAAGCCAAGTGACTTTGCAGGGAGAAGAGTAAAGTATTAAGAACTTACAGCAGAAATGGCTTTAGAGATTAAAATACATACAGTAGCATAGAGAAGACAGATTGAAAATCATTAGCTAAAGCATTAACTATAAGTAGAAAGACACAGAGATAAGAAAGTAAAACAAGGTACAGAAATACAGGACTGTGAAACAGGAAACAGATTGTAACATGCATAACAAAGTTATAACTGTAGATTTAAATTAAGAATGTAAAGGATAAAATAATATCATAGCAATTAGTGGGTAATGCATACAATAAAACAAGAATAAGGTAGACAAAAGATAATACAATTAAGCTGTTTCATGTAAATTTGTGGTATATCATTTTATTATTGTAATAAACGTTTTCCAACTAAAGTGGGATTGTGTCTTGCTTGAATCTGTACCATCCCTGAGCCTACAATAGTCAATATTTAACATTCAGGTTGCACATACATAGTTATGTAATGAAACGGTACAGTAAGAAAAAGCAAATTATTCAGCACTTCAAATAAGCAAGTTCAGTTATTTCAACAATTGTTAAACATTTATTACAGTTAAGCTATCTATTTCTACTGTAAAAAATTGCTTTAACAAATATATGCATTTTTAATTGCACAGATACTACCATGTATTTTATAATTCTGAATATCAGCTAGCATGGATATGAAACAACATGATTCACATTCTATGGATAAGACACTAAACAACACTTCAAAGTCCACAATATCAGAGTTACTGAACACAATTGCTGGAATGATCCCTGCCAAATCTACAGTTCTCAGACTAGAAGCCAGTCTGGATTCACCGTTCTCGCTATGTCAAATAACAGTGCAGTTGTTTTCCTTCACCCCTTTCAAATCCAATCTTGGAGTCAGGAATCAAGAACTATCAGTCACAAAAGGAGGAATACAGCCCTGAAAACTATTTTGGGGCTTTATAACCAGAGTCAACCTACATAGCAAGCAACATTCTTTGTAACAAAAAGACCATGACATTTACCTCAATGTGTCACCCCTATATTTTGTTACAAAGAATGGCTTTATAACAAAGGCTTTACTTTACAAACAAGTAAAATAATAGCACATATTACCATATTTTTTCCGGATTTCATCATGTCTAGATTTCATCTCTGCTCTCCTGTATGAAATATCAAGCATGTTACATTATGGTTACACTTAAGAAGAAGAAGAAAGTTCAAATAAGTTACCCTTTATCCAGCAAAACAAAACAAAACAAATCTATTAAAAGTAAAAATATAATGGATAGGAGCTATAAGATATTCTGGACAGCTGCCAGAAACCTCCCCCACATGCAGGTTATAGAAGAAAAAATATCCTAATTAAACATCAGAATAGTGTAATGAAAATTATTGGGTGAATGCACATCATGCAGAAATTTAGCAAAAATCTCATTTCATCTGGTCAGCACAACTACCCACAACTACTTTCACACAAGTCACACAAACTTCAGTCCAGGCATGGACCATCCCATACTTCCTGTTCCATGCATGGACCATTCCATGCATTGAACTTTCTGTACATCCCTAATGCTAAATTAAAGAAATAATACCTCTATATCCAAGTCATTAAAAAAATGAAACTGAGACTGAGCTATGTTTTATAAAATAGGATTAAGGTAATTTCCATCATAAAATATGTGCTTAGAAAATGAGGTATACATAGTTTACAGAAGGTCTCATTTTAAAGTTCAGAAATACTTTGAATAATGTGGAATGCATCTTGGAAGAGGCTTTTTTTAAAAAAAAAAAAACCCTCCACATTTTCAAAATTTTCATCATTCATTATTATCTAGGTGTAAATACATCTAGGAATGGCACTGATAATTGTGGCAGAGTTACAGATATGTTACCATGCACATATGCAATTAATCTAATATGGAAGATGCCAGCTAAATCATATATGTATGGGCATATGGATTTTATATTGGACTCTTACAATGAGATCTTACTTATTACACTGTATTAACAAATCTCTTTGGACCTATTATGGAAGGCAAAGTATCAACTTCAGGTCATAAATCCTACCTGCTCTCTTTTTACACTATTTTAAGTAGTCCAGGACACAAGTTAATGGCATGAGCTCAACATCTACTAGGTGATTTGATCAACAAAAGTTTTCTGCACATGAGAACAAGAGTTGACTATTTTGAATTAGAGTTGTTGAGCAAGTATACTGTATTTCTATTTTGCCCATGTATGGCTGGACTGAAACATCTGTGCTTAGTGTTCTAGGCAGACATGTTCCAGAATGGTAAACAGTGGGGTAAAGGCAAGGCCGTCAGCAGTGATGGGAAGGAAGGAGCTGTAAAGATTAGGGGAAGGGTAAGTAGGTATGCCATACTTGGATTCAAATGAGACTGCAGCTAAGGCAAAGGAACGTGCTGGAAAAATTGGCAGGCAGGCTGGTGCACAGGAGGAATAGAGTGATGCAGTGGCAGAAGAGGGGAGCAGCCTTGCCTTTCGCAACCCATTAGACCACTCTGGATTTTGTTTTATCAGAAACTGTTACACGTTTCACTTTGGTCAAATCGAACAGTTTAGATAAACATTCAATCACAATAAGTTTGCTTCATTCACAATGCAAAACACATTTTCCGTTTTGTGCACATTCCTGTTTATCATGTCTGTGCAAAATTTCAAGAAAACATCTAATTGTGAAGCAAGCCTTATTTCTTGACTGGCATGGAATGACCCAAAGGCTAGAAGAAACAAACCTGACCGGCATCTATAAACTAGAAGGAACGCACCTTTCTTCCTGCCGAACTCTCCTTTGCTCTCTCTCCCTGGCAGCCTTTTCATCCTCTTTATCGGCCCTGTTTAGAATAAGATTATTACAAACAGATTGCAATATGAAATGATCCCGTATTATGGACTCATCAAAACCATAAAAAGTAATCAAAAATAGATTCCTATTAGGGCTTCTGGGTGAGGTTCTATGGCTGACTGGATGTCTCCGAAGGAGCAGAGATAGTGCTATGGTAGTGAATGGCAGCCAGCAGTGATTTCTGGCTGGCAAAGTCTTTCCAGTTAAAGGAGAGACTGAGAGATCACCCATCTGCATCCCAGACTGCTGCTCCTTGTGTGGAGACCATGGGATGGAAGCCCTGTGGTTTTCTCATGAGTAGAGTGGCAGGGGGAGTCAAGGGAGAAACAGTGTGCTCACACACGCAAGCGCAGCCTTTTAAAGGACACTAAGTTCAACCAAACCCTCACTTTCTTAATCACTTTCAGATACAATCCATTTGCAGCTGGAAAGAGGTCTTTGAAAACAGTAGGACAAAGAAAATAACCTCTCAGTGAGTCAGCCTTCCTTCTGAATTACAGAAACTAAAGCAAAGAGGAAAATAATATTCTTAAAAGACTTTAAAACAACAGTAAAGAGCTTAACAAGATTTTGACTAAAAAAGTTATAAATGGATAAAGGGGACTGTACAAATTTGAAAGATTAATATTTTGGCAAAAGTGCTTTTGGCACTATTTGGAATTAATTTAATAAATTTGTGGGAATGTTGATTGTTTGACATCAAAGGGAAAAGACAATTGGCAGAATTTACAAAACAAGGAGATAAATGTAACATGAGATTGACTGTGTCATTAAAACTACAGAAAGACAGATTGGACTAAAGCCTTAAGGGTATAGAAAAGGCAAAAGAGGGGGGGAAAAGGACAAGCTTGCCTTTTACTTTCATATTCATAATTGATTTACTTTTACTTTTGGATTATAAATAAAAGAATGGTTGCCACCAGGAAAGTTGCAAGGCTTGGTGAGGGAAGGAGAGGATCATTGGAGCAACTAACAGAAAAGGGGATTACTCCAGAAATATTACAAAAGATGTTTGAAGAGATGGGAAAGCAGGTATCTGAATCTGTCAAATCTGTTAAAAGTGAACTGATTGCTTTTGAAGTGAAAATGGAAGAAAGGTTTGTAAAGATGAAAGAGGAGATGAAGAAGTTACCAAAAAAAATGAAGAATCTATAGGACAACTTATGAAAGAAGAAAAACAACTTAATGACTAAGTGGAAATTTTAGAAAGTAAAACAGAAATAATAAACAGAGAGACAAAAAAGGACTTAAACTATTTGGCATTACTGGGATTGAGAGAAAAAGAATTTTGCTTGAGGTTTAGAGTAGTTCCAGAGGATTCTGGAGAAGACACCAGAGAAAAGGTTGTTCAATCTTTAAGAAACTTTTTGGAATGGGATGAAGATGATATGGAGGCAGTAATGGACAAGTGTATAGAATCAACATGTGATTTCCAAATTAAGAAATGTATCAAGGGATATTCTTGTGCATTTTGTCAGGAAGAAGACTAGAGGCCAAGTTTTGAAGCAGCATTTTACTTCCAGATTGAAGATTAATAATACAGATGTGATTGTACTTAAAGAAATCCCAATCAGAATACTGTGCAAACAAAAAAAGTTTTTTGTTTTTTTTTACTGACAAGCTCAAACAGAAAAATATACCATTTTGATGGGATAAATTGGAAAGCGTGATCTTCACTTTTAAACAACAGAGATTTACACTGAATTCAGTCCAAAAAGCAAGAGAATTCCTAGAAAAATTTAATGTGGAATTGGAAGAAGTGCAAATGGAAGTGATGGAGGGCCCCAAGCAACAGGCACAAGAAATTGAGGAGACTACCATGTTAGGTGCCACAGGTATTGACTTTTGTAAGTTTTGGACATAAATGTGGATTTTAAATGCCTAATGTAGAATATAAATGGAGCAAATGCTCCTCAAAAAAAGTATTTCACTACTTTAAAAAATTGAAACAAGATATAATTTGTTTACAAGAAATGCATATTAGAAAAAAGGATACAAAATACTTGATTTGCAAAAATTTGAGTGAAGAATTTATTTCAGTGGGAGCCAAAAAGAGAAATAGAGTTATTTTGTATATAAACCCCCAGTTACAGCCAGAACTAATATTGACTGATTATGGTAGATATGTGGGGGTGAAGCTTCTTTACATGGGGCCAAGACTCTGATAATGGGAATTTATACTCCAAATGAGGATAAAGTAACATTTTATGAAGGACTTATGGATAAATTAATAGACTTACCATATGAAAATTGAAGTTTAATGGGAGATTGGAATGGAGAAATTTGTCTACAAAAAGACAGAATTTCTGCGAAAGATATTAAAATGACATAAGGTAAGCTACCAAAAGAGTGGGGTTTTTTTTGGGGGGGGGATATGATGGACAATTGTAGAACTTGTACATGCATGGAGATACAAAAATGGTGATGCAAAAGAATATGCTTATTTTTCTGAAAGACATAGATCTTTTTCAAGAATTGATATGTTTTGAACATCTAAGAATTTGGTAACTACTGTTCACAAAGTGGAGATACTGCCAAAGACCTTTTCAGACCACAACCCAGTGACTTTAGCATTTAAAAAGAAAATCAGTTCCTTCAGATGGAGGTGCAGTGAAACATTGTTGCAGAAAGAAATAGTAATGAATGATTGCAAAAAGAAATTGAAATAATTTTTTGACAATAATCTTTAAAAAGATACAGATATAAGGATGGTTTGGGATACAAGTAAAGCTTTTATGAGGGGCCATTTTATACAACATAATAGCAAGCTCAAAAAAAAAATAGAGACAAGAGAAAACACAAGTGATTTTAGATGGTAATCTTAGAGAGAGAGGGTAAAATATAAATATACTTGTAAGTGCGGTTAAGAAGACTGAAAGCCGCTTCTTTATAACTTTTTCTTTTCTTTTCTTTCTTTTTTCTTTCTTTCTTTGCACTTTTTTCACGTACTTATTACTTTCCTTTCCTTACTTTTCTCTTTCAAAATGTGTATTGTTTTTATTCTTTCAAAAAATTCTTTAATAAAAATTGTATATATAAATTTTAATAAAATATATATTAAAATATATTTTATTTTTATTTTATATATTATTTTTAATAATATATTACTATAAATTTTAAGAGAGAGAGATTGATTGATTGATTGATTGATTGATTGATTGATTG